CATCGACAGTATAATTGCAACGCACGAGGCCTTCGGCCACGTGCTTTTGCTATTATCCTGCCAATACCCATGTATCCATCAAATCATGCCAGATAACAAGAAAAAATTTAATCATATTTTATAATTAAATTTGATTAAATTTTTGTTAAGTAATTTTAGTTTAAAGGTTTAAAAAAACTTACTAAATAAAATTTACTTAATTTCTATTAACTTACCCCTTCCTAATAAAGATTTCTGAGAGTGATCAGCTTGAATTTTCAAACAGGTGGTTGCAGACTTTTCAAAAAAGGCATAATTTTCATTATTTTAAGTTGCATGGTGAGAGTGGTTCCGCTAATGTTGCTGCCATAAACCTAAAATTTCCCAATATTATTAGCACAACTAGTCAGTATTCTCTTTGTGATATTTACAACATAGATAAGACTGGCCTATTCTATACTATGGCTCCTAACCATACAATTGTGTCTCGCCAGATTGAAAAGTCAAAAAAAGATTGTATGAGACTCACGATTGCATTTACAACCAATGCAGATGGTACCCACAAACTTCAATCTTTTATTATTAGGCATTCTGCAAGACCTAGATGTTTTAAAAAAAAAACAGGTAAAGAGCTCAGGTTCTATTACCATAACAATAAAAAAGCATAGATAACAGCTATTTTTTTTCAAGAATGGATAGAAAAATTAGACAAAGAAATGAAAGAATCAAACTATTATATTTTACTTGTCCTTGATGGTGCCCCCTCACATGTTACTAGTGCCCTTAACTTGAATAATGTAAAAGTACTCACATTACCTCCATATATAACATCCAAAATACAACCAATGGATACTGGTGTTATTGCATCATTCAAACTTCATTATCATTATATTCAACTTCAACATGCAATTGACCATAATAAAGCTGAAGAAAAAGATATCTATAAAATAGATTAATTGCAGGTAGTTATACAAATCAAAAATGGTTAGCCCATGAAATATCACTTGATATCTTATGATACTCAATATTAGTAAGTTAGACAAAAAAAAAGATCAAATAATAATCTGTTTGGTTAAGATTGTTCTCAAACACCTCCCTCTGTAATTAACAAGATGATTTGCTGGCTAAAAAAATGAAATGTGTTTAATCATTTTAATTGAAAAAAAACTAAACCTAACAACTATCTTTTTTTTATAGAGTTATACTGATTGACTAAACTTTAAAATTCATATAATAAATTTCCAGTACAATTAATGTGATAGATTAAAATAAAATCAGATTAAAATAAAATATTATACAATGTAAAAAATAGACAAGCCATCAAAAAATAAAAAATTTTTGAGGTGCATTTTTTAGGGTTAGGGGTTAGGGTTAGAGGTTAGCTTTAGAATAAAGTTTATAATAAACAAATATAGATGGGTTTTAGAGGGTTAAATAGAAACTCTTATTTCATTTTAATCTGATTTCATTATGATCTGCCACAATTATTACAAAATAAATCATTATTTGTTAGATTAAGTTAGTACATTCTATTACACCAATAAGTTGCTATTCATATTTGTAGCAAATAATACTAGTCGCAACTAACCAAAGATCAATTAATAAATTGAAAAAAATAGATATACTAATGCACTATTAATTGCAGACTATGAAATAAATTAAGATTGCTTGGAGTGAAGTATTAGCTAAAATGATCAGAAAATGTTGGTTCTGTACAAAAATCATATCTCCCTGTGATGAAAATGGAATACCTGTTGTTTCTTCTATTGCTGTTAAAAGTATTGATAATGTTGAAAAAAACCTGCCTCTTGATTCGAATGATCAACAAATGGCTAAAGAGCTCTAATAGCAAATAGATCTATTGAATCTCTATAATCTAATGCCAATTGAGAACTTGTTAAATCTTAATGAAGAACAAGAAGTTCACCACCAGTTTACTGACAAAGATCTGATCCAGATAGCTACAGAAATAGAACAGATAGAAAATGAATTTGTTGTGCCACCCCTAACTGGAGAAGAACAATTGAATATTTTATGAAGTGCTCTAAGAATTGTTAATGAAAGAATCGATAATGATGGAGTAACAATAAAGATATTACGCAAACTACAAACCTGTATCCGTGAGGAGGTTCAAAAAGAGAAAGTTGAAAGGCAAGTCCAACATAAATTAGAACAATACTTTCAAGCTTGAAAAATAGGGTTCAGTATTTTTTTTTTTCTTTTTACTAAACTACATATATAAAAAGAATTTTTTGAAAAATTTTACTTGAAAAATTAACAAAAAATAAATAAAAAGTGAAAAGTTATACTGGCAAAACTTAATGACTATTGGTATAAAAAAAAAAAAGCTATTTAATTGATAATCCGCCAGTCAACAGAAGAATAAACATAGTGTAATGTGATGCAAATCACTATGTAAATTCAATATAGTGTGAATCTGAAAAATTTCTACTGTTCGTCCAAAGAAAACA